CAGACAAAAGTAATAAATTTTCCACCCTGCTGCTTACTCTCTACTTGTAGAGTATTTTTATAAATATGGCAGACCCTTATTGATTTTTATTGTTCTGAGGCCTGCATCGTCAATCTTCTGTGCTCAATCATTTAAAAAAAAAATACCCAGAAAAGAAGAAGGTGCAGTAGGTGGACAAGTGGAGACTAAAGAACAACGTGAAGTAAGATCAACGAGAGCCGTTAGACCTAAATATAAATCATAACTATGGAGGAAAAAAAATTGATTTCTTTGAATATAAATGGACTGAATTTAGCTACTAAAAGAAGGAAAACTTTTTATAAAATAGAGAAATTAAAATTTGATATAATTTGCTTACAAGAAGTACACATTAAAAAACAACATCAACAATTATTGGTGCGACCAAAAATAGGGAAAATTTTTACTTCTTTGGCCCAGTGTAAGAAAAGAGGAGTGGTATTGTATATTAAAGAAACCATTTCAGCAAAATTGATTTATACTGATGAAGATGGAAGAGTACTAATGGTTGAAATAGTGGATAACAATACAAAGATACTTTTGGTTGCAATCTATGCTCCGAATGATAAACAAAAAAGATTCTATAAAAAATTACATATGAAAATAATTGAATTGGATTACGCTAATATATTTATAATGGGAGATTTTAATGGAATTGTAGACAATGAATTGGACTACACAGCAAAAATAACACGACAAAATAGGAAGATCCTCCCTAAATCCTTTTTTGAAATGATAGAGGAATTAAATCTAAAAGATATATGGAGAGAAAGAAATACTAAAACTCAACAATATACTTTCTACTCGAATAGACATTCATCATGGTCCAGAATAGATATGATGTGGACGTCAACAGAATTATTATCTAATATTCAAGAAATAAATATTGAAACAAGTACATGGGCAGATCATAACCCAATGACAATTAAATGGAAAGGACAAAAAAGAAGATCTAGATGGACTTTAAATAATACTATTTTAAAGGAAAAAGATTTTACACAGTGGATGGAAAAAGAACTGGCCTTCTTTTTTAATGAAAACAGAAAAGAAGATACTTCAATACAGAATGTTTGGGACACAATGAAGGCATATGCAAGAGGATTGATAATGGAATACACAAAGAAAAAAAATATTAGAAAGAGGCAAATGATTAAAACTTTAGAAGATGATTATAAAAAATTGGAAAAAGAATTACAGAGAATGCCACAGAAAAAAGATATTAAATTTAAAATGGATATAATTAAACATAAAATGGATCAAACAGAGAAAGAAGAATTGGCGCAAAAAATTAGAAGTGCTAAACAGAACTATTTTGAGGATGCAAACAGGCCAGGTAGATGGTTAGCATACAAACTGAGAAAAGAGAAAGAATCAAGGAGAATACCACAGTTAATGGATGAACAGGGTCTAGTCTGTCATGGTAATAAGGAGAAAAAGAGAATTATTCGAGATTTTTATGCGCAATTATATAAGCAGGAGGATTTTGATGAGGGGAAAATTAAACAGTATTTACAAAATGCCAACCTACCCAAGATATCTGATGAAACTGGGAAAATGTTGGAAAATCCTATAACAATGATGGAATTAACTGAAGCACTTAATAGACAGAATAACGGGAAAGCACCAGGACCAGATGGTTTCCCGGCAGAATTTTATAAAACATTACAAGAATCATTGAGCATTTCAATGTTAGAAATTATGAATGAAGTTATGATAAATAAGAAAATACCTAAAACATGGTCAGAAGCTTATATTACGCTTATTCCAAAAGAAGGGACTGACCCATCACAAATTAAGAATTATAGACCTATTTCTTTATTGAATGCAGATTATAAAATCTTTGCTTCAATTTTGGCAGAAAGGCTTAAAAAATACTTAAATAATTTTATTCACTCTGATCAGAATGGATTTCTACCAAAGAGACAAATTAAAGACAACATGAGAGTAATTTTGGACACTTTGGAATATTATGAGGCACACCCTGAAAAGCAAATGGCTTTGATATTTTTAGATGCTCAAAAGGCATTTGATAACGTGAATTGGAGATTTATGTTATTATTATTGGAACAGATGGGTTTTGCTAGAAAATTTATTCAAGCAATAGAAGCTATATATTATAAGCAAACAGCAAAAGTGATGATAGATGGAGAATTTACAGACTCTATCAATATTAAAAAAGGCACAAGACAAGGATGTCCACTATCCCCTTTGTTATTTGTATTGACTTTGGAAGTATTAAATAGAAATATTAGAGAGGATACAAATATAAAAGGAATGAAAGTTAAAAAGGAGGCATTTAAATTGCAAGCCTTTGCGGACGATTTGGTCTTTATTCTGGAAGATCCTCTAGAGACAGCTTTAAAACTACTGGAAAAGATAGAGACGTATAGTGAGATGGCTGGCTTGAAAATAAATAAAGACAAAACAAAGATTCTGACAAAAAATATGTTATTAAGGCAAAGAGAAGAGTTGGCAGACTTATTGAAAATTCAAGTTACGAATAAAGTTAAATACTTGGGGATAATTTTGACGTCAAGATGTACTACACTGAAAGAGAATAATTATATTAAACTTAAACAGCAGATAGCATCTGACTTGAAAAAATGGGAAAATCTACAATTATCTTTGATAGGTAGAATCTCAACAATTAAAATGAATATTTTACCCAGAATTTTATATTTGTTTCAAACAATACCAATTAGGCTTGGTAAAGACTATTTTGATGAATTAAATAAAATGGTGTTGAAGTATATATGGCAAGGTAAGAAAGCGAGAATAAAACTAAAACTTTTACAGGATGCTAGAATTAGAGGAGGATTTGGCCTTCCTAATTGGGAGTTGTATTATCAAGCTGCAAATTTAATGTGGGTTAAAGAATGGATAACGTTAAGAAAGTCTAGATTACTGACATTGGAAGGACATGATTTATTATTGGGTTGGCATGCTTTTTTATGGTATAAGGGAACTAAATCGCAGGGTTATTTCAGAAGGCACTATATACGGGAATCGTTATGGTTGAATTGGGAGAAAATTAAGAAACAATGTTATTTGAAAATTCCAGTTTGGTTATCAACTATTGAAGCTTTTTCCTATCCCATAATTTATAAGAAGGAACAAACAGTTAGATATGGGGAAATACTGGATGAAAAGGGTGAACTTAAAACGATGCAAAAGCTAGAAGAACAAGATATAAAGATGAATTGGTTTTCATATGCGCAAATACACTCAAGGTATCTTAAAGATTCTAAAACAGAAGGATTTTATGATAAATTGACTGATTTAGATGGGATTTTGACAGGTGCTGATGAAAAAGTGATTAAAAAACTATATAGTTATTTGTTGGAAATTAAATTAGAGGAAGAACAAGTCAAAGAAACAATGATTGTTTGGGGGAAGAACTTTGGATATGGGATTGATTTAGAAAAATGGCAAAAATTGTGGTCTCAAAATTATAAAATGACAATGTCAGTAGCATATAAAGAAAATTTGTATAAGATGTTTTACAGGTGGCATTTTCCCCCGACAAGAATAGCAAGAATGTTCAAGAATAAATCCGAAAAGTGTTGGAAATGTCATCAGATCCCTGGCTCATATTACCATATGTGGTGGACTTGTGAGGAGGCCAAGAAATACTGGACTAGAATTCGCATATGGTTGGAAGAAATGACAAAAAAACATATAGATTTGAAACCAGAGATTTTTCTATTGGGAATCTTACCTGATACATTTAATAAAAACTTAAAGTATTTGATTGTAAATGTGTTAACAGCGGCTAGGATTGTATTTGCTAGAAATTGGAAGAGTGAGAAAATACCATTAGAGGAAGAAGTTATTAAGAAAATATTGGAATGTGCTGAAATGAGTAGATTGACATTTGAAATTAGAGAACAAGAAGATAAACAATTCTATGAAGTTTGGGATCTTTTTTATCAATGGTTAGATAAAACAATATAATAATAGAATATATATATATTTTGGTTTTGATAATATTTTTAGAATATTATATTAAGATAGATTTGGTATGATTTTACGATTTGTTATAAATTAACTAAATTATAGTTATCTCGCTTAAGCATGAATTAGTTAAATTATAGTCAAATGATTGTTTAATAAGGATATTAGGATATATAATTGTTGATTGATAATATGAGTTATTATGTAACATAATTATTATGATGACTATGAAATAGATGCACAAAAAGGAGTGATAAACCAACCGATACACTGTCTGTAAATTTATGAAGAATGATGATGTTCTTATGTTATGTTTTATGTTTTATGTGTTTTTATTTGTTGTTAAAATCAATAAAACTTTTATATAAAAAAAAAAATACCCAATTTCAGTAGAAATGCTTCTGCGAGTGAGAATAATCTGTCTCCTTTGTATTATCAACCTTGCATTTCGTATTACATAAACTATAAATGTACTGAGGTTACTGTGCCTTTTTAATTGCACATTTACAACTACGTTAAAAATCATTTTTTGCTGGATGTTCTTACCCCAAAATATATACAGTATTTAAATTTCTCCGTACAACAACTTGTCCACTTTTGCTTTTATTGTCTCCGTCTTCACTCCCTTGAAATGCCTGAAATCTATTAGTGAAGAAAAGGAGCCAAAGATAGGATTCCTACTTGCACTAGAAAAGGTCTTTTTTGTGGCAATATGAGCTTTTGGGGGGGTGGAGGGGTTAACATGAGGTTATTTCATGACCACTGCAGGAGAAGAAAGGATAATTTCCCTCTTTCTGTGTCCTGCAGTTCCAGTGAAATCTCTGCCTTGTTGCATTCCCTTCACTGGGCTTCCTATTGATGCACCAAGAGTTATTTCTATTCTGACCTTCAGGAAATTTTTAATATAGTAAGAAGAGATCAGTTCTAACAACCAAAGGTATATTTCCCAGTCTATCCTCATCACCTTCTAGCCTTCTTGCACTCTCATCTCTGTGGTTTTTTTTTCTTTTTCTTTTTCTATCTTGCAGACTGGATCGGCTAAGGAGTCCGAATCAAATAAAGTCCCATCCCAGCGACCACCTCCTCAAGGTTGTTTACAATACATTCTCGACTGTAATGGCATTGCAGTAGGACCAAAACAAGTCCAGGCGACTTAAATTTTTGAAATTTAAAACAGGGGTTAAAGCCAAACGAAAGAAAGAAATCAACAATACCAATTGTTTGTGAAAGTGTTTTTTTTCATTGTTTCACTGCTGACCTGGATTGTGTTTTTTCTATGCAGTGTCAAATATATTGTCTGGTTGTTTATCTGTTTGTGTTGTAATGCTTACTTATGTTTTTCTGTATAACTTGTGATTCAGGGCTGTTGTCCACAGTGTACAGTGTACAAGAATTGTGCCTCTACTAAGTCAGTGAGACTGTATATTATGGATGGTTAGACAGTATTTTTGAAGTATTCTATATTGTGGGTTAAAAAAAAAAAAGGCTAACCAACCCTGGCTGAGATATAATACATTTGCTTAACTCTGTGAGTATGTATGCTACATCTGATTTTGGAATTTTTTTATGTGCATGATTATTGAAAAGTGATTATAATATTTGAAAAGTCTCATTTAGTAATATGTTAAATGAGGCATTTTCTTTTTATAATTTTATAAAGATTGCTTAATTTTGAGTTAAGACATATACATAAATTGAAAAAAAACTAGTATTTTTATTTTAATTTTTACATACAAAATATAAAAGAATTATTTCCAGGAATGCATAAATATCTTCTATTTTCAGTGCAGAGTTTTTAGGGAAAAATCTGTATCTACTAGCTTCAGTGCTACAAAAATGGGCCACATATGTGCAATATTGATTCAAATTTGATATTGAATGTATTTAAGTTCAATAGAGGAGTTTCTTCGTTGGTTATGAAGTAGCCATCTGGTTTTTACCAAACTAAAAAAAATGTTTACTAGAATTACCTTATCTACATAATTCAGGTAAGCTATGGTTCTTTAGCTATGATAGTTAGCAAAAAAAAGAAAAGCCTTCTGCAATTAATCAGCACCTTTCTTTCTAAATATTATGCTATCCACCCTTTTCAGGGTTTTTTTTTAAATGTCATTCATCAACTGGATGTGTTGCTATATCATTCTGTACTTATGATTATGGCCAAGCTATTAGGATACACTAAAATGCACCTATGATCCAATCTAGCATTTTAAGCTTAAATAGCTAAGTACAGTAGGAAAAGAATGTTAGTGGATCTTGAATGCCCATAAGAGTGAAAAGCTTAGCCATAGAATGTAGTATATGGGACTCAAGTGTGTGTAAATAATAAAACAAGGGTACCTGACCCAGGTGGGGAGGGCTGTACTTTTGCTAAACTTTCTTATAGCCATAATTGCTTATGACTGTCACGACACCAGGGGCTGTGTGCATAACCTTACAAGCAATATCCAGGCAGGCAGTTAAGCTGTTATTCAAATGCACCTCTTAAGCATTCTGTAGAAGTGAGGGAATGAATTATGTTGTCAATTGAAGACAAATAATAAGGTCAATAGAAATCCCTAGATTAATACAAACAAGTATGTTTTCTTGTAACATAATGATGACGTCTGATTTTTTTTTTCCTTTGCAAACACTCTAGAATTGCAAATATTTTTTAAATTCAAGATGTGAGAATTACACATTGTTTTTAATGGTAGTTTTGATGTTTACTGCGCATGCTGTTGTTCCCTGCTCATTTTTAGTCTATGAACAAGTATATTCTGTTTGTGTGACCTTTGTTTCTGATAATGATCTTTTGATAACCACACTGAGGGGATTGGTTATAGGGGAGTGTATTACCTTCACATCAGGTTCACTGTCTTCCTCACCTCCAGATCTTAATCCAAGAGAATAAAAACAGCATTCCATTCTGGAGTGGGAAAAAATGAATCTGCCAACTGAATGCCATTAATATCAAGCCATGGATGTTCTTTTGCATGTGGTAGTTTGAGTAATTAAAGATGCTTTTGTGCATTGTTTATGGGCTCTCTCTGTGTGTATGAAGTGTGTATGTGTACTGACCACAGATAAAAAATTTGCATCTTAGCAAAACGTCAGTACATTTGATGCAGATGGTCGTAAGAAGGACATGCACTAGTTTACTGGCTCAACAGTAAAGAAGCAAGCCAATATGTTTACCTGCATGCTAGCATGCTCAAGTGCAATATTGTGTGGAGTTGGGAAATGGTATTTTAAAATGTAGGATCAATGTCTGGGGGGGGGATGATTTGCTTTATTTTTCCTTTTTTAATTTCTTTCTGTCAAAGCTGCTATTACTATTATTATTATTATTATTATTATTATTATTATTATTATTATTATTA